TATGACGGGCACGTCGATAGAGGGCGTACAGTCAGCTACATACTTAGGTGTTTCTATCGACCCCTCACTTACCTGGAAATCTCATATAGAAAAAGTGAGACAAATTATTACTCCCAAAACTGGTATTATATCCCGAAATTGTCACTATATTCCTCGTTCTATGCTAATTTTACTATATAATACATTAATCCTTCCTCATCTAACATACTGTATTGAAATTTGGGGAAACACTTATCCAACTTTACTTGAGCCAATTCTTTGTCTACAAAAAAAGGTAGTTCGACTTAACACTTTTTCTGACTTTCCTGCTCACTCTGCTCTCCTTTTCCTTGGAATTCTCGATATTCACAAACTCTGCAAACTTCAAACATGTTTATTTATTTTTGACCTCAAACACGATCGTTTTGCCCGTAGTCTTAGGTATTATGCAAGCAATCCGTCACATAGCTACCCTACTAAAGCAACAACTGAAGGAAACCTGTCAATTCCGAAATTACATTTGTCCATTTCCCAGCATAATTTTCAATATGCAGCTGTTACACATTGGAACTCCCTCACAGTTTTATTAAAAAGTTCAAATAATAGAAATCAATTTAAATCAGATTTAAAGACCCATCTCATAAGTAGTTAACTGGCATATCCATCTTTATTGACTATTATTAGTATTTTAGTTACATTATTTTCTTTGTGTTATATTTGCTAACCAGGGCATATTTGTTAGTTCCTTGGAAGATTTTGTTTGTTTTTTCCCTACCAATTCATTATTTATATTTCTTATTTTTTTTTGATTAGCAGTTTGATTCATTTAATTGTTTCATAACAGGTTAATTAATTATTATATCAACTGGTTGCTTGGTTATTTATTTATTTCTGATAAATAGTTATTGATGAATTGTATTTTCATCTATTTTGTTTCCTAATATAGATTTAAAATTATAAATAATTTCTGTCTGTCGACCTATGCACATAAGTTTACTAGCATGGCAGGGCTGTGGACTGGACTACCGGTAGTTCAGTAGAACTATTTTCACAGTCCTCATCAGATTTTTATTGTATCTATTTAATTACTTGTATTTTCATTTTTTTTCTGATGAAATAAACATATAATTAATAATGTCTAATGTATATACCAAGTTTGAACAAAATCCATCTGTAAACAGCCAAGAAATGCTTGTTTTTTTTAGGATTTTTTTAGCACAAAAATGGCCGCCATTCGGCCATCTTGAATCAGATCGTAAAACAAAATGATGTGCATCAAGGTCCTATAATGTCTAATGTATATACCAAGTTTGAACAAAATCCATCTGTAAACAGCCGAGAAATGCTTGATTTTGATGATTTTTAGCACAAAAATGGCCGCCATTCGGCCATCTTGAATCAGATCAAGAAACAAATTGACGTGCATATGTATAATATCATGTATGATGTATGTGTGAAGTTTGATTGTGATTGGTCCAGGCATTTGAAAGATACAGGTCCGAACTAACAATGTCTCAAGTTAGGGGTGCGGCTTCTATTAAAGCTGCAGCCTTGAATATATGATTTTTACGGTATTTAACATTTTCAGATACCATAATTCCAAGGTATAAATAATGAATTGATAGTCAGACTCCCTCACACCCATGATGGAAGGCTACTGAATGCATACCCACAATGCAACACAATAGCTACCCAGTAACAAGGAGTTATACTTAAACCCACAATGGCTACCCAGTAACAAGCAATTATACTTAAACCCACAATGGCTACCCAGTAACAAGCAGTTATACTTAAACCCACAATGGCTACCTAGTAACAAGCAGTTATACTTAAACCCACAATGGCTACCCAGTAACAAGCAGTTTTACTTAAACCCACAATGGCTACCCAGTAACAAGCAGTTTTACTTAAACCCACAATGGCTACCCAGTAACAAGCAGTTATACTTAAACCTAGAATGGCTACCCAGTAACAAGCAGTTATACTAACTCACATAGCAATACAATGGTTACCTGGTAACAAGCAGATGTACTCGCCCAAAATACAACACAATGGCTGCCAGGTAACAAACATTTATATTACCCACAATGCAACACAATCATGAATGGCTACATAGGAACAAGAACTAATCACAAAGCAACACAATGGCTACCTTGTAAGAAATGTTTTTACCCCAATACAAAAGTTATACTTACCCACAATGCAATATAATCTTATAAGCAGCAACTTAAAATGGTGATTAGCAGGACTGTTTGAACGTCCCTTCTCTAATATTGGAATAACCCTCCATAGCATGCCATCATCACCTGAAATACAATGTTAAATAGTTTCAAGCTAAATTAAATATCATTTGTCATGTTTTCAACATTATGAGTGCATAAAAATACCAAAACTGAAAAAAAAATTGGGTGATAAACATGATGGGGATAAAGTCAAAATTGGCCTTTTCAAACTGGTTTTATGGTTAGATAATTTCTTCACATCTAAAATTTGTTCTTAGTGAAATAGTTGTATATTACTATTGATACAAATTGTAACATTACAAAATAATACATAAAATTCAAAAAAAGCCAAAATTAGCACTTTACACTGGTTTCTATGGTGAATTTATTTCTTCATGTGTAAACATTTTACTTGGGGGCAAAGTTGTATTGATACAAATCCAAAAGTTACAAAGAATTTCATAAATTTGACTTTCCATAATGTAATGTATACACATGTGCAGTAACATGCTCAGTATAATGATAGTGTTTGGATCATAGGTGGAATAATTGGCTGAAGTTTTTGTTGTATCAAACAGTGATCCAATCAGCCTGTGTAAAATATGCTCAGAATACTATAATCAACATCTTACACACTGAAGACTGACTGACATCAGCTTTGTTGTGATCGTAAGGATTGTCTTCAAAATGGGATCTACAGAGATTCTCAAAATTCAACTTCAATGTAAATATCAATGACATACTGAATATCAATGACATAGTGAATATCAACGACATAGTGAATATCAACGACATAGTGAATATCAACGACATAGTGAATATCAACGACATAGTGAATATCAACGACATAGTGAATATCAATGACATAGTGAATATCAATGACATAGTGAATATCAATGACATAGTGAATATCAATGACATAGTGAATATCAATGACATAGTGAATATCAATGACATAGTGAATATCAATGACATAGTGAATATCAATGACATAGTGAATATCAATGTCCAGCATTTAGATGGACAGAATAAAAATTATAAGACCTACTACAACGATGAGAAACAAACGCACCTGCCTGCTTCCAAACATCCAACAAAAGATGAGCTGCAAACAGACAATACATATCACTTGGTAAGAGATCCGTGCTTAATAAATCAGCACCAAACTTGAGACCATCATGGTAACGTTTAAGTAATTCTTTCGAGAGAGAAATTTTCTCGTCTGACGAGAGTGACTCGTGTTTTCCAAGGAACCTTGATATTTGTAGGAATGATACATGTCTCTGCAAATGTTTTTCCTGCAAACAAAAACATTTTACTAAGTTTTATGCAAAAAGAAATTTTGGTAGTACAGCAACATTATCAATTTTGTTTGTTTTGCTTCCACACAATAATCCGCACATTGTTTATTCTGCCATTTTTGAGCTATAACCAACCGCCCTACTTGTTACATATCAATACACTATGGTGATCAGGTGACACAACACCATTATAAACGAATGTATTTTACGCCTGAAATAAAGTAGTCCCAAAAATGTCACAATGGAATAAAAAAAAGCTTCAACATAAGCATACCCTATATATGCCAATACACACACTTTCGATATAAATGTATGAAACAGATAATGAAACACTGTACACAATAGGTTTTATGCAAAAACTTTGGTAGTATTATCAATTTTGTTTGGAATCTCACTATTTCACCAGCTTCCACACAATCTCTTTTCTTCTAAAACTGATTACCAAACACGATATCAATCCAAATTAATTGCATTCTGTCTGTTCAGTTTAAATTTACAGGTTTGCAATCACTTGCATATTTATGTACAGTGTTGTACATTGTCTAATGCTATCATTTGCTGAAGTTTATCTTTTAACTTTAAGTCGGTAATCGTTACCGCGTGTTTACAATTGTAAACACCACAGTTGTAGCCAGCATATAGTAAATGACAACCAAACACACAAATCATAAACATGAGATTATTTATACTTACATTTTCTGCAAATGTTATCTTTCCGTCCACTGGATCCAACTCCAGTCTTTTCCATAAACTATCCAAGAATGACTGGATAGTTTCCTTGTCAAGATCAGCAAGAAAAGTACTTAGGTCACCAAAGCAGCAGTACTTGTCACCAAACACATCAAAATAGTGTAACAACATTGCTGTCAGACTACCTGCAAATCAAGCAAACCATCGGACATGTCTGTGAGTGTTTCTTTCCTAACTATGGTTCAATATTGGTACAAATTCGTAATAAAAACAAGGAGGGTGGACTAAATTGTCGGTGCACCATGCTCCCTACCTCTCTTACATATAATACACTACTGACTATGTAGAAATCCTAAGAAAAAAACGGTTTTGTCCCAATCTTCTGAAAGAAACTGCTATAAACTATAAACGGGATGATTTTGTGATATAAGGAGTAAACTGTTAGTGAAAATGACAGTCTTTCTGGTATTTACCCAATTTTTCTATATCCTTATTCTTTCTTTCTTTAAGCCTCTTGAAAAGTTCCATCCTCGCTAAGTACGGACCTCTCTGAGGTCTACTGTCCTTGGCAGACTCTAATTGTATAACATCTTCAACAAAGTGAATTATACTATCTACAGTGTAATCAGGCGGACCATCTACAAAGCTAAAATCATAACACAAGTTGCAATTAGTAATCTACAGTTATATTAAAACAATTGAAAGCAGTGCAATGTTTATTTTTAATTGCAATGTTTATTTTTAAGTTTATTTAAATATTTTTAACTTTTATGTGACCGCAATTTAACAATAATAAATTATCGATTTTGTCAAGGGTACTTCTACTGGAGAGATACTTTTAACATAGGAAATATGGCAATGCTTTTCATTTCTGGAACTTGTGGGCCTGGGTCTTGTTTTGGAATACTTACATTTGATCCTCCTGTGGTGTCCACCCGGAATCTATAAGTTCAAACGCTGATTTAAAATATGATAAATAAAAGCTCCATTGATCAGGTCTGTTAGAAAAGAAAAACGGAATGCATAATGTACTTAACCCTGAGACCTTTGACCCTGTGAAAGTTAAACTTTGACTCCTCTCCCAAATTATGTCCAAATAATTCTTTCCATATCATTTTCAAAAAGGTTGATCAAGAGCTGTAACCAATGTACATTCGATCCAAAATTATTAGGCAATTAAAAAAAAAAATTAATATAAAAACGAAAAATGTTTCACCAAAATATTGGTGATAAAAATGTTGGCAGTCAAAGGAAATATTGTCAATCAATCACTTGGATGGTAGCACTGAATCATGGGAAACTGTTCACATTGCTCACATGATAAAGTAAAGTTCAAACTTTCTTTGCATTGATGTACGAGGGCAGTCTGCATTGGTTCAACTTACTGTTCACGCAACAATTTTCTATATGCTGCGTTGGCTTCTGCCCATTTCTCCATCTTAGCGTAGAGACATGCTATTCTGTATTTGTGATAATTCCATTCACTTACAATCTTCTCTGTTTGAAAACAAGAGAGAACATCGTCATGTGAAAACATTGTGGTGGTCTAAAACAGGGAACTTGTACACACACGTCAAACAGCCATTACACTAAATTGAAGTATGCTTAAAGAAGTATGTTCCGTTTCGTTACAAGATACCAGAAAGCTTCCACGTTTGACTTTTTGTTTATTTCACCATTTTCAGTTACACCAACGGCACTTTAACATATCAATACACTTAGGTGATTAGGTGACCTATAACACCATTACAAAAGTATGTATCATGACGCATACAATGAAGTAGTCCCAAAAATGTAGAGTAGAAATAATTCAAATCTAAATTTGTTGCTCTGAAACCTGACAGGTAATCTGAAGATAAAACAACAAATTCTTTTCTACAGTGACAAAAAATATCCTATATTATTTTTCCACAATATAAAAGGGAAAATATCTTGGTTGGTCATTGTTCAGTCCGATATTTGTTACACTGCAATCCCTTTTTTGTGTCACTCACCTCCAAGTTCACCTTGGAGTAGCGTGATAGCTTCTTCGTGTTTATCCATTAGATCGAGAACCATTAAATAAAGCTGAACTTCAGCCTCAGCTTCTAATTTATCTTCTTTAGCCAACTTTTCAACCATTTTCAACGTTAAAGGTAAAATTATTTTTTTTGAGAGGGTGTCATCTGAACTAAACATTGCCTACAAAGTATAATATCAATGAATGGTAGTAAAACTCATTAAAATCAGCCTTTACTTCAACTGGACATATTTCAAAGGTTGACATTTTTTGAAAAGGTGACAAAAGTTGACAAGTTGGTGAATTTTTTAGACAAATTTTCATTGCATAATACTTCCCTAGTAACACAAGCACTTCATAAATTCCAGAAGTGTATCTATGGTGAAAATAAGTAATATTTTAATGGTTCAGTAGAGATCATACGCAATTTTTGGTTTATATGTTATTTTATTCAAGATGGATTTCTAATAGAACACATCCATGACACAAGTGTAGTTCAGGGAATATGGAGGCTGTATTCAAAGTGCATCTCCAATACCCAAAGGTGATTTATTTTATTTTCATAAAGCAGCACAAACATGTGAAACAATGCTTTTTAGACTTTTTGCCATTTGATTTCTCAAGCAAAAATGTCTTGTAATATGAAAAGAAAAAGACAGTGATGTGTTGATTTCATCAGTCAGTACTAAGTTTGACGTACAATATCAAAATAATAACAATGGCGCAAAAAAAACAGTGGTCAACTTATTTATGGTACATGAGAGTAGCTTTTTATTATAAAAGCAGTCCTACCTCCATAACTTTACTCATAACAGCCCAGAAGTAGTATGGATTTTTTGGAAACTGTTTGTATAAAGTCATAGCGGCCTAGAATAAAACAGAACAAACATATAGAATCAATACGACGACTCATAATTCAAAACTGAATGAATGCTACTGAGACATTTAATAAATCACGTCGGTGTAAACACTTAATACATTTTATCATAAAAAACATAGCTATGCAAAGATTATTGCTTTAAATGACAAAAATATTACAAATTTTGACGTACAATGAATGCTTGAATATATTTAGTGCTACATGTGTATAGATCATTATGACCTTACTTAACCACAATTTGTTAATTCGGCTTTGTTTTTTGTGCTAGTGACGGAGTTGCGTTGCTAACCACTCGTACAACTCCTACATGCCATTGTACTCCAAGACCAGATCTAAATTTGTGTGTTTGGCGACATTCACTTCTTACTGCCTGAATTTTTGCCTCAAGACTCGTTTGGGATCATTCAATTACGGAAAATCAACCAAACATAACATATTCAAATGATTGCATTGAATAACTAAATTGTATTGCCTAAACTTCAATTTTGTCATCAACCATTTTTTTCCTCAAAATACTAGTATGAGGGCACTGTCTGTCTACCTTTGAATGATATCAGACGACTGCATCAGACTAAATGTCAAATAACATGCGATGCCAGAAGGTTCACCATAAGGACAGGAATGTCTGTCACATTAAACTTTATATCACAAAATAGTCCTGTTTATAGTCTGCACTTTCCTTCAGAAGATTGAGACAAAACAATCCAATTTTTTTTGAGTAAAAACTGAAAATTGACTAAGATTTTTTCTGTTGGCTCCAAAATTAGGGTTTATTTTCAGAAAAAATATAAGAAAACAGTGCAGAAAAAAAAAATGTTGGCAAGAAAGTTTGGTTACTTTTGATAAGTCAATCAGTGTCAGCAAATAAAGGATAAAGATAAGGTCAAAGGTCAGAATAAATATCCATATAAAGTACAAATAAACTCTAGCCTACAGGCACTTAGTGACATTTGGGTCATAAATTTTTACAAACAAAATTTTGAGCAAATTATTTTATATTTTAATTTTTCCTGACATTTGCATTCTGATAGATAACCAAAAGTGAAAAAATTGTGTCAAAATCTCTTCATTGTCACTAAATTCAATGATTTTTCTGTTACAAGCTGACAAAGATAACAAGTTTTAATTTCTGTCATTTCATTTTTCAGCAAGTAAAAATACTGCATACAACGTGGTAAAGTACAAATATTTCTAAATAGGACGTAATTGGTGCGATTTGCAATTAAGACAATATTTGAAGTTGCATGAATTGCAAGACTATAAATACCTAAATCAAATGACAAGTTTGTGAAATATGATCAGTGATACTAATTTCCAGAACATTGTGTATTGCAAGTTTTTCACATTTTTCAATCAAGTGTTTTTAGGAATTTTCACAGCTAATTATCTAATTCTTTTAGGTAATCTATTATTATGATTATTGATAGGCTCTCAGATTGACCTATCACATACCTAGGTCACAGGTCATGAAAAACAATGTAGCGCATGACCAATCATGTTTTGTTTTTTAATCCTTGTATTTTCAAGTTAAGTTCTGTGCTCTACCGTTGAATAAACATCAGTTGGATAATTATTAATTAGTAATGAACTGAATCTTTCTGACTATGTTATTGTTTCGGATACAGTATACAGTGGCTATACTCACGAATCAATTTCCCACAGCCACAACACATGGAACTCATGGAGAAACAGAAATTTGCATGCCACCAATCAAAGAAGAGAACTCTGAAAACAGTTACACATGAAAAAGTTGAATTCATACAGTAAGCCCTCTCACTGACCTGATGTTGTTTTTTGTAGTCTCCCATTCGCACATAAGCCATAAACAAATGTGAATGGTATTCTTCATTGCTTGGTTGTTTTCTTACTGCCGACTCGTATATTTTCGTAATAAGCTCAGCTAAAATTAAAACAGTAAAAAGATGAATTACATAAATATCACTTCTTTATAACTGAGGAATTGAGTTTACCGTTGACAAAATCTAAAATATTAATATCTAAAATATTACGAGGCTTTGTGGTATGACGACCAGTTTTCAATTCAAAATGGCCGTTTAATTGCTCACAGTCATTGTTTCCATGAATACAGATTGTGGTACAGTTAATTTTTGTTTTAACTGTTTAAAATACCACCAGGAAATGAGCAGAGAGTGGCATGCTTACGTTTTTGCATTTCTCTGTAGCATATTGACATTGCCTGCAATGTTGGGTCATCTGACGGTTCCAATGAAGCTACTTCTTGAATTAAAGTGAACGACTCATTTGATTTACCCATTCTAAACAGTGCTAAGGCTTTTAAAACCTATAGAGAAGATACAAATGACAATTCAAATTAGTCAAAAGGCAACAATAAATTCATTAGTAGACATTTCACGAACTGCAAAATCTAAGAACATCACAGGTGAGACTTTGCATTTTAAATACACCTATTTTCCATAATCTAGAAACAAAACTGTTGTTGTGCATAACTATTGCACATTACAACATTTTCCACGACTCAAGTTATTGTTTTGAGGTTTTGCCACTTAACAAGGTCAACCTAGCTAAATGAAAGTGACATTATTTACAACAAATCTCTGGAAATATTGGGTCAGCAAGTTGCCAAACCATCTCATGAATTGGCAGGTTAAGCCTAGGATTTGAATAAACAAATGGCTTATTCTAGACTTCAGGGCACCAGTTGATCCTGCCTATGATTGACTATATTGCCATGTGCAAACAGTGTCTGCAATAGAGAGTGGGCGTGACCACTAATCGATACCAGTAAGTTAGAAAAGCCAAGTGTTCAAAGCAAAACATAAACTCTGTCAATTCACAAGACGGTTTGCCAACTTGCGGCCACAATACTTCCGAGACTTGATGTAAATAAAATAGGAATGTTAGTTTCAATAAATGTACATGCACCAGCACAATTATATTTTAGTTGACAACTGAACTATTGATGAGTGATAAACATGCTCCAGCATTATTTGGTTTAGATGCAATCAATAAGATTGTTGACAGACGAAAAACATTCCAGTAGATAATACCAGTTAATTTGATTATTAGAACAGCATGACAATAATCTGCATTAATATGCATATATAAACAAATTAAAAGCAGCAGATCATCCATGTTACTTCAAAGAAGAAACTCTTACTGGTGTAGTGAGGGATATAATTTTCAAAAGACACACATTGCTTGTTACATTACACAGAAATGCAATATCTTATTTGATAACCATTGTTAAGCAAGAGTTCTTACCTTAGCACAGTGCAAGTCCTTCTGTTTCTTCAGAACTTTATCAACTAACTGTATTGCAACTTTATTATTTCCATTATCAAGATTATCTGGGAAAAGTACAGAAGAAAGATAAAAATGTAACGCTGAGGCACAATACTGAATTCTTGGGTGAAAATTTCACTGGAATCCTAAAGACAAGAAGTAACAGAATCTTTCACAAAACGTTGTCTTCAGACACCATTAATTCATCAAATTGCAAAAATAAAATGCTTTATATGTAGTACACCATGTCCTCAGAACTCTGGCTTTTGGCATCATGATGATCAGATGCTAAAAAAAAAGTAGCATCATTGGACAAGATTTCGTAGGTAATGAGGCACAGTATAACTATAAAGTGAACTGAAACCTTTCTTTTTTTTTTTAATTAAAACAGATGAGATTTGAGATTAGTATATGGAGGGACATTTGCATTGAAAAAAAAAAAAAACAGTACGATCTCCAGCACATAAAATGATATAAAGTATTCCACGTATGAAATTTCAAAATTAGATATAAAAGACCATTTGGCAAGTGAAAACCAAGAACAAGATTCCTCTGCTCGTGCAAGGCCACCACTGGCATTGCAGGATTGTACAAACTTAATTTTCACCTGAAATGATACGAGCAGAACATCTCGTGATCCTGTGGTGTAAAGGGGCAGATCTTTAAAGGGGAACCGCTCAATCCCATGCATTGCACTAAAGAATCATGGGACACTATTGTTTATGTTGTTTACAATGTTAATCTATCTTTTGTTATCCATTGTTATTTTAATCCAGAAAGTAAATTTGTTGTGAGATTAGGCTTAACTGGAAGGTGCCCCTTTAACGGCATTGGCGAATCCTTGGCTTAACTTAAACGCCAATAAATAAATAAATAAATAAATAAATAAATAAAACTTGTCTCAATATTAAGTATATTCATTTCTAAAATTGATGACTTGCAATCAAAGCGAGGTCACTTAGAGGTCGATCGTGGTCACACAACATGCTTCAACTCATACGTGTGAACATAGATACGTCATGCGAACAATCGAGCGGTTGATGCAAGCCAAGCTCCGGTACAGTGCAGGACACCGGTATGAGAGCGCCAACCACCCCCGAAACGCATCACATCGATTATGTTCACGGGCAGCACAGCGAGAGGCTCAAATAGCTGTGGCATTGACTTCATCGTATGTGGTTTATTGATTAGTCACGTTGAAAAACCCACAAAGATGTTTGCATTTTAATGATTACACTCACCATAAATCGGCCTAAGCCTCCTCTCGTTCACATCCACATGGCCACGACCTGCCATCTTGAATTTCCGGGTCCACGCATTCTACGAGATCACACGATATCAGACAGACACCTACGAGAAGTTAACAATTTGTATCGCGGGGGCGCTATATCAAAACAAAATCAACTTTTCTTCCGGGCTGTGATTTCACAATGTGGCGAAATATTTTTTGGGCCATAACAGTGGGTTGTTGCAATATGATGTTGCTTATAAATTAACTCACACTTCAGGACAAACCTGATAAGCATTAATTATTATAGGAAAATGGCTCACAGTAAATCTGTTTGGCAGACAGGTAACTACATGGAAATAATGAAACTGTGGCCAAAGAACGGAAACCACGTTCTGGCTCAATACGATGACCACAATATTGTTGTGTATCAAGCATTCTGTCCAGAAATTGCTAATTATGCAGTTAAAAACCAAAGGTAAGGTTTTTATTATATTTTATTTTGTTTTTAATGTTTTCATTTGACCAATCACCATAAAACTATCACCTTTCAACAGGAATTCAATGTCAACATCACCAATAACTACGTCGCTATCACCAGGAGTTCTGGGTAGCGGTAATGATTGACATCAGATCGGCCCTTGAAGCGGGAGGGTCTTCGCATGCGCACGCGCGGGAATTGAGTCCCAAGTGATGATAACAACCCACGCTAAGAACGCAAAGGCTCATGGGTAGACGCTTGTTTGTAAACAATGACAGGCTATGGCCATCTGATGCTTGTGCAGGTAACGACTCCCCCGCTTTAATTAAAAATTTAATAAACTTAAATAGTTGTTGATACCACTACACAGGCTGAGCTAGCTATTAGTTATTGCAATATATGCAATTGTAATAATGTAAAACTTGTTTATTAATCAGCAACTGTTTTTTTTCCCTTGTTTTATTTCATCTTAGGTTTGGAGGTCCGCATTACAGTTTTGACAGAATGTCTTGGATAAAGCCAAACTTCTTATGGATGATGTATCGCTGTGGTTGGGCAACTAAGTCAAAGCAAGAAAGGGTCCTTGCTGTGAGGATAACTAGGGAAGGCTTTGATTCCATTCTTTCCAAGGCATATTCAGCTCAAGTAAGTCTGGTCCAAGGGATAATACTTGATGTGTATATGTGTTGAAAAAAGCAAGAGTCTATTTCTAATTAGTTGGTTGTTGTATGATATTATACTGGGCAAATAATTATTAGTTTCATTTTATTTTGACAAAAAATCTGTTGTATATTGCATCATTTAACTTACTAGTATTGTGACCATGAAAACACGTCTGTAATCATGTGAGTGAATATGCGAGTAATAGAGCAAATATGGTATACCAGGTACTAAATTAATTATAAAATAAGCTGTTATGTTTATCACAAACCAGGGAGTATCCTTCGTGCAGCGAGTTTTCGAATTTCATGTAAATAAACAATGTACCGGTATGCTATAAGTACCATATCGAACAGGATTAATTAAACACAGTGAATATTATTTCTCTTGCAGTATTTGGCTTTTATGGCCATACAAAATGACATACTTTGAATGTATGCCCAACATACTGGCACATACATCCAATAAAATGTACAAAACATAAATTTTTTTTTTTTTTTAACTTTCCTGAGAAATGTATATACAAAATCTTAAAACCAATTTGGCCCGGCATTGAAAGAAACATTTTCCATACTATAAAGACATGCATACCTAATTTATTTGTTCTTAAAGATTTTGAGAATTCTTGGTTAAGCTTTAAAACACTAGCAAAGTAAAGTTTAATTTGTGAGGCAGTTCACATCTTTTTATATTGATGCTGTTGTACAGCAACCTTGCCAATGATAAAAGGACAGGTCATACTGCCCTCTATAAACCATTTGAAAATCTTTTGTTTTTGTCAAACATACATTTGTTCTAAACAGTATGATGCATAATATAAGCAACTGTGTTGTTCATTGTCACTATGCTGACAAATGAAACTACCAGTATGTGATTACTAAATTCAAAAAAAAACGAGGATCAATGAGAATGTGACATTTCAGTCATTTTAACATATACATTTTTTGTACTATTTCACACCTAGAATGGCAAGGATTTTTCATTTCAACTTTCATTTTTATACAATTGGCTAAAATTTAGTCTATTTGACAAGATTTGTTCTATTGATTTGCATATGGATTTTTTGGGTAGTGCTTATTCGTACTGAAATATGCATGTGCAACACAGTGGCAATACATGTGAATGGAGGAACGTTCGTGCATATTTGAATTTCTACTTTGAATCATCGTACCTACATTCCACTTCATAGGCACAGAAAGCTGCTGGTCTTAACAAGAATGATATACAAGTACGTCTCCAGTGGGATCCTGACCACAAACCAAGCGGTGCGCCAACATTAAGAAGAGCTATACAGCTAGGACTCAAAGGAGAGGTCAGTTTACAACTTGTATATCGGTGACTCAAATGACGTGTTGAACCTGCCTTGATAAGTCCAAACTACTTATTATATCTTCATAATCTCACTATCACTGCCATATTGTTCGAACACTGAAACAGCAACATTCAGCTGTTGAATTGTTTTGCAATAGAAAGAATTTTAGGGCCTGTACATTTGTTGACTATTATTTAGTAAAGTAATCACTGAAATGATTTCATCTATGGGCCTGTGCACGACTGATTTCAAAAGGTTCCATCCAGATCGGACAACACCTTTTTGTGCCAATTCCCCCTGATCATTACATGATTAGAACAAGTTGGGTAAAACCAACCTCAAGAGGAGACGTCATATAATACCCTGGTAGTTGGGGGGGACTCAAACACGTTGAGTATAAATATAGAAGATCAAGAAAAGCAATGCTATCTAAACAAAATGTATGTACTGACACTATCGATGGCGTGTCATAATGCTTGTAAATGTGCCCATTAATTATCGTAAAAATGGTTAGAACTAACCAGTAATAAACATGTAATGATCTCAAGCCAATCTCTCAGCTGGAAATGTTGCTGCTTTGAACAGTACAGTGGTGACAATAAACATATTTTATTTAGATTTTAAGGAAATATGCGACTGAGTGGATTGTGAGCATAGAAGATGTGACACCGTTTGTACAAGAAGAGATGGTTAAATTGACTCCAGAAAACATAGACAAATTGGTAGTACCAATTGAGAAAGTATACCATGTTACGGATAAGAAGACTGCCAACTTGATTAACGTTGAAGAACCAGAATTATGATTGAATATTTGTTTATATTTCATATACAATGTACAACTATTATTTATGGAAAGCATGTTTATAGTCCCCAAAAATACCATTTTTTTTCGAGCTGGCTAATAGAAAGTACATTTATAGTCCCCCCCCCCCCCAAATACTATATACTAGTATGGCTTTTTTTTTTCGAGCTGGCCAATGGAATGTATGTTTAGACTATAAATGAAAATATATATACATATTAAATGGATTATTTTTTTAGGAAAATATAAGTTTGGGCACTAATATTTTATAATGAAAATGCATTGACTAAACTTGTTGAGAAATGTATTTGTATATTTACATTAATTAATTAATAAAGGTAAAGTTACAGTACAAATATTCATGGATATGAAAATAAGTCTACTGTACATCTATGGCATGTGAGTTTGCTATGTGAACTCCAATGAATCTATTTTGAGAAAGTCAAGTCACATTGCTTTGTTTTCAATATCAAACTGAGGAAGCTTAAGAAGACTCCCTTGGTCCTTAGAAAATTGCGACACTATATACAACTTTATGTTTTATAGGGGTGTGCATTTTTTTTCTTCTAAACGTTTTCACAAAAAAGAACTTCCAACACCAAGATTTAATCCATATAGCAATATTTTTATAAATTGAGTAGAATTGTTGGTAACACTCTAAGAGATAATTGCATTACACAATCCCTGTGAGATATCTAGTTCAAGATATATATATGTTTGAACATTCACAGCATTCATTAAAACAAATGACTGACCATTGAATATCTTGTATCTCATCGAATAAAACATCAGAGAAAGTTTAGAAAAAACTCTGTGTGCTCAGAGTATTGGAGACACATTAAAATTAATTCAAAATTTAAGATTAGCCTTTCAAACAAGAAGCATAGCAACTGATATTTGTCTGCTATTTGAGATGTACAACATGAAAACTATGTGATCCACATTATCAAAATTTATAATACTAATAACAAAAAAGATATTTGATTTTAATTCTGTGGTTTTCAGTCTAATTCCAAAGCACCTGTGACAAATAATATTTTTTTTTTAGATCAGAAATGATCCAACAATAATTAAATAATCAATATGCATGTTTTTCAACATAAAACTAATATCAGTGGATTACCCCAATGAACTAATTTAATTATGCAAATTAAATGATTATTATGGATGTACCAAAAACTAATTAGATCATCACATTGTCTTAGAGTATACATGTACAAAGCTTCATTGAAATAAGATAATTAAGTACTTGAGATATTGACGGAAAAGCTGAAAATTTATTAATTATGCAAATTAGGTAATTCATATGCAAATATGCAACCTAAATCCTGTGAGGTCTGTGCATTGTCCTATGACATACCAAGTTTCATTGAAATG